TGGGAACATTTTTAACAATTTGTTAACTGTATAGAATATTAAAAACGCATTAAAAATATATATATATATATCATTTTTCAAATACTCATAGTACGAGCACTGGAATTAATTTTTATAGAGTAAGATGTCTAAGGTGACGTATTTATTTATTTACAGGTTGAGATAAGAATGTAGTTTCCTCTAAAAACTATGATGGTGAATACGACATCACTAATAGACCTCGGTGTCTGCGATTTTGCGGTCTAGCACACCGTCTAACTTCTGATGGTTTCGGGTTCAATTTTAGCATGGTACAAATATTTGTTTTCATCGGTCTTGATATTTTCTATGCATATTGTTAATCTATTTACAAAAAATATATACTACTAGACTATATGGTACTGTGTGAATTGTACTGTGATATTATTATTATTAATTTATCTTATTTTCTTCTTAAAGGCTCAGTATTTATGGCATACCGTCAGCGGATACTAGTAGTGCAGTCTGAATAACCATTCCATTATCATCCACAAAAAGTATCTAGGCCAACGGATCTTGTGGAAAGAGACTCATAATGACAGTGGAATGGATGATGATAATTGAGGTCATCTTTGCTGTACTTGTGTCTATAACAGTACACAACATTAACCATTTACTACCAGACGAACAAATAGTAACCACTAGTATAATAAAAAAAAAATAGGAAACAAATAAATACAAAACATTGAAATATTTATGTTGTTAATGACTATTATTATAATAAAAACCTTTAGAAGTATACATTTATTTACTTATTTAATTGTTTCATTAAGTAAATAATTAGATGGGAAATAATTAAGCGCAAAACAAGAAACGGTCAACGCACTCAAGAAAATTAAGAAATTATCTTGTTGCTGAGCAATATATTTCCAACCAAGCTTTCGAGAGATTGTTGAAAGGGAGTATATTTATAATTATTTTATTTACGCAAACATTACATAACTGAAAAGGAACCAATTAAATTAATTGTGTTTGTATATAGTTGTTCTTTTAGCCTTAGTTGAAAAACCTCCAATTCTCTTTTATTATTAACGGCTATTATTAACTTACAGAAATTACAGGGCATAGAAATATAACATATTAGTCCACGAATAACAACATATTACACTGTATTTTGTGACAACCAAAGTGTTATTATTTATTTATTTATGTATATAGTTGACGTGATTTATCGAATTATTATTATTGTTATTATATCTATCAGCGTTAGACCTAGTCTTTTTTATAGCATAGGGAATAAAAGGGAGCTTCTTCACCAGGATAGCAAGTGATTACTGCCGCCCATGAGCTCTCGCAATACCAGGGAAATTGCAAGTGCGTGTCGTCGAATAGTCAACACTGGGCTTCACAGCTATATACGAGATCTATTCATTGCCTGATGATGCCTCGTTCAGAGGCGAAACACGTATCGCAATATGGGCGTAGCACAAATAATGGTCGGAATTTGATCACTTGTATATATAGAAGGGCGTCACGCTACTATGTATAAGTGGTGAATAGGTTTCTACTCGGAATATCTGTGGTCTCACATATTGTAATGGTAGCGAAATTAAACAAAATAATTTAAATCCATTAATTAAGGAAATAAAAGGCGATTATCAAGTGTTAACCGCCTTCTACATAAATATGTTGTGGGACACCTAATGGTAAGTTACTATTAGGTGCCCATCAACTTGTTTGCCATCCAGTTACATTAAAAAAACACATTTCTGACGTAATTCTACTGACCGTAAAAGAGAATCATGAATATTAAAACTAACACATATGCGCAAAGTAGGAACTAAGGTAAAGGTACAATTGTGCTCTTAGACAATAACACTTGCATAATCATTGTACCACAGACGACTGTAACGATGTATAAAAAAATAACAACTTTCGCATTACATGATTATAAATCTATATTAAAAAACCCATTATTAAATATAATCGTCTTGCAGATATTTCTTTTTTATCTGTTTTATATTTGATTTAAATTTTGTCCCTATTGCAATTAAACTGGAAGTTGTATAATATAGAAATATATAATATACGAATATATAAATATACGAGTATATTATTATTATACTACTATTAATATCCCTAAAAACATTAAAAGGTCATAATGTCATATGTTATGTAATTAAATAATCATAATGTTATTTTTAATAACAATATTTATATATATTTTATAAATAGCTTTGTTCAATTTAAAAATATAAGCACGTTTTATAGTTTTATTTTCTTAGCTTTGAAGTACTTTGTACATTTACATTATGAAGCCATTATTCTTTTATGTAACCCTTTCCAGTCCCGTCAGAGTTTCAAAGGAAAACCATACTTATAAATGATTCCATTAAAATAAAAACGGAATAAAAAAGACATACATACTTCTAAGCATGACAAATGTGAGATGTCTGGGTTTTTAAATCTCGGAACAAAAGCGCATTATTGTTCCGAGTCTGTTGAGTTATGAGAATATGTGCATATATATTTAAAAAAATTAGTTTTTAACATGTTAATTGCCAACTACGAGATTACTCGTAGATCTTGTACTGTGTTGAATTGACATTATTGTTAAAATCGGAATAAATATAAGTGCTAATATGAATAGTTGGTGTTTGCGATCGCAAATAGCCCTTTACTTTATTTAAAAATAAAATTATATAAATTCAAATTTGGAATGTCAGGCACAGAACAACGATGTTATTTTATACACATTTTGTACTTCTTCTCGAACATTCCGTGGCGTCATTATTAAAATCAACGTAGAATACATTCAAAATATTTTATTTTATTACAATAAAAAAAAATCAAACACTGCATTATTCCTCCAGCAAACAGTTGACTTCTGGGAAAAAACAAAAAATCAATGCTGACTTACATGAACAGAAAATTAATTAAAACATAAATAAAAAATATAACAATAACAATTAAAATTCCAGAAATAATAATCACAAATAATAAAATATTACTTGTATTTTATTGTTTGTGATTCTTTTATTTATTTTTTTTACTGTGCTCTAAAAGTAGAGTTTTTAATAATATAATGTTGACATATGATTTCTGAAAATTGCCGTGCCACAATTCAAAATTCTACAATTTAATAATCTATATTATATACTTCTTGATATTTCTAAATGTAATAAAATAGTAAAAACATTACGAGGTTTAAACTGTGTCTTTGTTTGACTAACAAATAAATTGTTTGTACACATATTAAAGTTTCACATAAGAATGGTTCGAAAAATTAGATAACATAGACTGTAAATTATAAGTCAACATATAGCGTAAAGTTTCGGAAAAATATTCCCAAAGGGGCTGTAGATAAATTAGTGAAAATTTTCGTTACGCCACCTACATCATTATTAGTCAATTCATTAATTAAGTAATAGATGGCTTTTTATAGATATATGTATTATTTATTATTCTTTTGATCACCATTAATAGATGGTTATCTATAAATGTGTCTACAAATACGGCTACCAGAATGTACACGTACAGTATATAATTTTGTATGGCTTTAGTTATATCTGCCATTAATGTATCCACGTGTACATTAGATATAAATAAATTGATCCTCTACTCAGCCGCCTTGAAATTTCCTACAGATGTCGCTTTACTCCTATTTACAAGAAAGTAACTTTTAGTCTTTTTTTTTATATTAACATCCATTTTTATTATATCTTCCAGTCTTTCATTTACCAGATTTTCTTAATATTTGTGCTGCAGTTATGTTTTGCGTTGTTTACATTATATATGAATATATGCATAACTCAGACATTCCATACATTTCTTATACTACGAATATCAGATGTACTTGTATATATTTTTAATAAACATACAAAGCACCCAGACCAACCCAAGCAGACACGAATTTTGTATTCATTCTTCAAGGTACACCATTCAAAATATAAGCCGTTATCAGACGTTACTGTTAATACAGTCTGTAACCTTTCTGTGATTTACTATACACGTATAGCAAAAAGATAAGTTTTGATTTTTACAATAATACCCGAAAACTCGCTTTGAGAACGAAACCTAATGCGGCGTGAAACGATAATGTCCTTGTAGGTGAAATATACCAATACTATATTACATTCCGATACGACCCTTTGGTCTACAGAAAGATACAACAATTCACCACATATGTAGGCACTATCCTTGGAAATTCATATATTTAAGAGGTAGATCTTCAGATATTATCAATCTATTGTTCTATAGAAGTATTAAATTAATGTATTCTACTTTTATTATCAATGATATAGTTTGTGAAAATATTCATTCGTTACTCTTTCACGTAGAAAGTACTAAGTAGATGTATTTGACATAAATTTGGTGTTATAATAGTAGCAACCCATTGTTCTACATAAGTATTAAATTAATCTATTCTATTTTTATTACGAATGAGATTGTTTCTGAGAATGTTTATTCGTTACATTAATTTCTCTTTCACGCAGGAAATATTAAACGTACTTGAATGGAATTTAGTATTGAGATAGATCGTACCCGAGATCAGTGCATAACATATGTTTACCTGAATTTACTACATTCAGAAGTCTGGTAATAAATTGGTAACTCGTATTGGTAACAGATCTTACGTAAGAAATATCAACATTCGACTTTCAAAATTCGTTGGTTTATTCAGTCATCATCATCATTTCAGCCCGAAAGACATCCACTGCTGAACATAGGCCTCCCTCAAAAATGTCCTCGACTATCGGTCCTGCGCTGCTCTCATCCAACGCTTTCAAGCAATCTGAACCAGATTGTTGGTCGTTCGGTTTATTGAGTAAATCATTGTTATTATTATGACTGGAATATTAATAGCAAACAAGCAGAAGATTCTAGTGGAAACTCGCTGCCATCTCCTATGATACACATGAACAGCACAACCAATTTTATCACGTTTTCAAGAGACGCCCCTGGCCCACTTGTGCGATATCATTCTTAAAAACTATAGAGTTATTCCCATAGCGTACGCTAATAGAATAAAAATGACTTACCTATGCAACATATAAATGAAGTTGAAGAGACAATTCAGAGAAGCCATCATGAGATCAGCGAAGGACAAATTCACCAAGAAGTAGTTGGTTACAGTTCTCATTCTTCTGTGAGCTGTAAAAAAGAGATTTAAAATTATAAAACCAATCTTCTTTAAACCTGAAGCACGTTTTAACTATCACAAGTATGCTTTTATTTTACATTGGCTCACGCGGTCCAGTCGTATTAATTATTGTTAAATATTATTAAATTTTAATTTGATAATATGTAATTGTACAATTTTGATCTTATATTACATTTTGAGACCATATACCATACCATATTGATAAATCATTTTTTCTGTATTTGTAATTAAAAAACAATTATACGAGATAAAAGTACGAGATTAACGACTTATCGAGTCATAAGGTAATAATAAGCTTGTGAGACCATATACTAAATTCCTGACAAAACAAATACTTTAAAAAAAATCTGTCTAAAATTTCAATAATGTCAGTGTAATCAGTTGGTGAATAAAGTAGTACACAGAGCTTGTATAATGAATACTAAACAAGCTATAGAAATATTTAAATATATATTTTGTAAATAAAATCATAATAAACATTGATAGGCCCCAGACAAATACAAACAGTTATACTCATGAATACAAATCTTTGAACCCAGTGTCCTAAAAACACTTACTTTTTAAAGTTTTGGTGTGTGAATCACGTATAAGAAATAGTTCATGAGCATCAATTTCTAGTATTAAAGCGTAATGCAGGGCAAAAGGATAGACAGGCAATAGAATATAAAAATCAGATTTCAATAAAACTCCTATAACAAAATATAATTTGGTATAATTACCGATATCGATATAATAAAACATATAAAGTTTCAGAAAATAATACTTGTAGTAGCTAATTTTGTACACTTATAATTTGATACGTTCGATAGGATACTAAAAATAGACATTTTATATGATATAAATTTTTGTTTCAATCTGTCTAGCAATTATGTTACAAACTGGTTAATTACATTTATTACTTTGATATTAAAATATATACATTCAAACCTGATTTAATTAAAATGTACGATACACATTGAAAATTCAATAAAAAAAATTTTAAACAAGCTTTTGTTATTATTTTAAACAATTTATTTTTTATTTTAAACAACTTAAATAATGTATACTAAGATAGTATACATTATTCAAGTGACTTACATATTTACAACATAATAAGATACTCTGTACATCTATTTTATTCTTGTTTGTTATAATTAAAATCTTGTATAGTGATGATTCACATTATGATATAAACAATAATATAGAACTAGGAGTATCACAATTATTAACACACACATACAGCATAGGTTTTTTTCAAGAAAGTTATAAGATTTCTTTAGGATCGGAAACGCTTACTAAACATCCTCTAGTGCTTTAGGCGTACATAAACAGGCCGTATGCTTGTTTGCCAACATCGTAAATAAAAATTAACAATCGGTTCAAAACATCTCAGCTTGAGAGATAAATGCGTATATATATCGTTGATATTCATTAAACAATGGAATTGTAAGACAAAACAGCTTTTTAGCGAGAGCTGATCATGGCATGTACAATATTGATTTTGTAGGCCGATATTTGAATAAAACAAAGAGTAGATACATAGGCAATATCACAATATTATATTGAACGAGCTGCCTGTGAATATTATTAATTTATTTATCGTCACACGGTGACATAAATGTCTATAGAAAATCAGAGCAATGTATGCGAAGCAACGGTGCGTAAACGATAGCTATTGAAATGGCGAAAAATACACTAAAGGGGATGGTGGATAAATTGCTTTAGACGTGCTCTTGTGACGTTTTTAGTTTATATTTCCGTACCTAACCTCGTAGCTCGTTGAGTAACAAATCCCTATAAAATAACTAGTACGTACGCGCTTCTGATTTTTTTCCAAGTATTTTAAAGCTGTTAAGCCTTTTATTGTATATCAATTAAATATAGACGGACTCAACTCAACTATTTTTAGACGGATTTAAATATATAAATATAATAAAAATCTAAGTACTTACTTCATTATATATTTTACTACTTACATTAATTTAACCAACGAGGTTGAGTCATTAATGGGAAAAGATGTAATAAACAAAAAAAAAATTCACATTTACTAATAATCATTCTGCTAATACAGAATAATAATATTCAAAGCCAGTAAATAAAGAATCAGTTGATTGTCTTGTTATTTGAAGTTCTATTCATTTGAAATAGGTAGCCAAAATTAATAGGGATAGTAATAAATAAAGACCAAATAAGACTATAAGTATAGAAATAATCATCATAGAAATAAACTTTATAATTTATTTTAAGTAGTTTCATTCGAATATTTTAAGTCTACTTGAAAATAATGAACAAGAAACTACACTGTATATATATATATATATATATATATATATATATATATATATATATATATATATATATATATATATATATATGTGCTATATATGTTCTATATAGCTATAGTTCAATTAAATCCATTACAAGAACGTCGTGTCGTCGACTAGTCGTTTACTACTCTAAATTACTCTCAAAAGGTCATGAATACGAATTTGATGTACACAAAAAAAAATCTGTGATATACTGTATATCTCTGAGCGCCTATCTAATTAATGAAACACCGATAACAAATTAAAAATAAATCCGGGAGATGGCGGTTCACACCTTGGCATGTTGGATTCAAACGGTCTATACCGAAATACGAGTATATCGAACGAAATATGGGCATCTTAAGTGTTACGTTCACCACAACATCGACATAACTCTAACTACCCCATCTGGATTAACAGTCGTGACGATACATTTATTTGTTTGCATTATATTATTTACTAGGTGTACCCGCGACTTCGTCCGCATGGAATTTAACTGTATTTTTTAAAATATAAGAATTTAACCTAAGTTACTTCTTATTACATCAGCTGCCAATAAAAGTCCCGTCTAAATCAGTCCAGCTATATCAGAGATTAACCGGGACAAACAGACAGACAAAAAAAAATTCATATATGTACCGTATTTATATTCACATTTAGTAAAAAACGGTTATTTCAATATCACAAACAGACACTCCAATTTTAGTTATATGTATACCTAGATATTGTAGTAGGTTTCAATGTAAGTAGTGTACCGCAGATTAATTAAAGTAAACTTGACTACAGTCCTATATAAGCATTGATATTATTTTTAGCTTAACTTTTTGTTTACTAACTGTAACTTGGATGTAGGTACTAATTAATGAATTGTCAACCACACGGCACGGCCTATACAAACTTTATAGCACTCGGGTAGCTCGTAAATTGTGTGTACTTGTATATCGTTGGTTATTAATAATTAAATGAACAGCCCACCAATAGCTGGACATGATAGATTGAGTTTTATAACTATTTCATGACGAAAAAGACATTACTATAGTAATATCATACGTAAACCTATAGATATAAGTATGCATATTAAAATCATGACGAGGTAAACTCCGTCTGTTTATATGTTTCTATTGTAAGGCTTTACCAATAAATGGTTGGAGAAATTGGTATGAAAATTCCTAGAATATTATAGAATATATTAAATAAATTAATATGGGTCGACATATATATATATATATTGAAAAGAAATAAGTAAAATAAGAGTAAGAACGAAATAATATTTGTTAATATTTTCAACATGGCCCACCTACCATTGGATAAATTAATAAAATAATAGATGTTGGTTACAATCGAACAACAAAAAATAGACACATACTTTATTTTTTATCATCATTAAATAACGATATTGAAATGTAAACACGAGAAACATCTAGAGCACGAGTAGTGTTTGAGAAAAAAATAGATATTACATTTCTTATAAACGGATAAAGTAAAAATATTGGTTGCTTTTATTTTTGACGACCTACTGATACCATAAACAAGAAGTTTATTGGGGTGGATGTACTTTGTTAGTTTTTCATGAAATAATTATTTAACAGATTCGAGACATATTTAGCCCGCAGATAAATATCTCTAAGTTAACATAAAAATAAGACACATTTTACCTAATTTTGACTTTATATGATTAGCTATATATATTTAATTTATTAGTACGTCATATATGGTATTTAAGAGACAGAGAGATAAAATATACTTTATTAGCAGCATACAATCAAGGAAAATTCACATAAATTATATGTACACGTGTACGAGTACCATAAGGCTATATTGCTGAAAGTAATCTTTTAACGGCAACCATAGTATAACAAAATTAATTGTCAAGTAGGTAGAAAACATGCAAATAAGGATAACATAAATATAAAAATAGACTGAAGAAGCAAAGAAAATTAAGTTCTTCCGTCCTTATAATATTCGTTATATACATCCAAACTTTATATACAACATTTTATGTACATATAAAAAAATTACCTCTTCTCTTTCGATATTCAGGCAAAAAATGTAAACCGTCATTTGCCAGAGCTGGTTTTTGCGACTTGATCTGCTTTTTTAGACATACTTTAGCCTTTAATACAATTTATTTCCACGCCACATAAAATTTCGTTCAACTCTTTAATAAAAGTCAACTTCTGTAGTGAATAAAGATCAAATAGATAGACAAACTTTGGAATTTATAATATTATAAGTAATATAGACTATTATTAATATATTTTTCTAATTTCCAAAAGCTAAAGTTATACTCTATAAAATAAATAGATCTATTCCAAAGTTATAAGTATTAGTGTAGGTTTAGACAAGCCTACACTAATACCACAGATAACATAATATTATACTAATACTTAATATAAACTATATATATATAATATATATAACGTAATATTACACTAATACTTAATATATATAGCTAAAAACAGCTACTAAGTACATAAGTTCCAGATAGAACTTATGTATATTCCAAACACGATACAAATCCATCATTCACATAGGTAGTGTGTTCTGTCTTTACGATCGCCTATAATATGCCCACACATGTCCAGCATTCTTGATGGGATCCCTATAATCTAGATAATATAAACGTACACGACATACATCTTACGTAGGTATAACGCACATTTACAGATTTTCTCTGCGTAGAGAACATTCCTGGAGTTAAATTTAATGGCGAGACGGGAGCAAGGGTCCGTTGAAGGTTTAATCTCGAAATAGATGCATATTTACCCTCGAGGCCCCAATATAAACTACGCCTTACTATTATTGCCCTATTTATTTTCATCCTACATCCATCACAGGGTAGACAGAGAAACTATTAAGAAAGTAATCTTTCTATTTCATTGTTAAAAATAAAATACGAATTTACACAAATTCTGCACATTAAATAATGGATGTTTTTTATTACTATACTAGCTATCCACCCCGGCTTCGGACGGGTATACATATAAACCTTCCTCTTGAATCACTCTATGATTATAAAAATCTCTTCAAAATCCGTTGCGTAATTTTAAAGGTTTAAGCATACATAGGAACAGACAGCGACACCGACTTTATTTTATACTATGTAATAATAATCATTATTATTACATAGTATAAAATAAAGTCGGATGATGACAGCTTCCCATGTTTAGACCCTATTAGCATCATTCTGAGTTCTGATCAAGAAAAAATCATGGTTAATAAATAGATTATAATTTACCGATTGGTAATCCATTAGCTAATTCCGAGTAAAGCGGCGAAAAACTATATAAATATAAAAGAAAAAAAGGTAAACACAAAAACTGTGACGAAACGATATCTCCAAATAAAATATATCATACATTAATTCTAAAAGTTTATTTTACTAAAAGATCGCAGAGATTTAGATGAGTTCACCGCGAAGTTTTATAATGTAACTGACGTTTTAAAAGATTGATTTCCCATTAATTGATTAATATCAATTAAATCTAAGAAGTTTCCTGAAGCCAAAGATGGTTTTAAAGCTCGTTCATATTGAAATTATATATCATAATAATGTTATTTTATTTTTATTTTGCAATAAACAAATAAAAATAAATTAATAATTAAAAATTATGTAACACTTTCCATCGAAAATCCTGAACAAATATTTTAATCAGTTTTATTGTTATGTTTTATTTATGTATGTTATAAGTAATACATACATGTAATTATGAATTCTTTGGTTAAGATTAAATGTACTGTATGTTTATGCTATTTTATTGAAAGCTATTAGTTAAAATGTCCATATTTTTACGCCAAAATTATTACTATAAATAAAGCCGCTAAAATTATTTATATAGTATCACAAACTACCTATTGTTTATTTTATCCTACGAATATTATATTAGAAACAGAAATATTTTTTATTGGAATGGATATATTTTCGTTTCGTATGTGGATAGGTTGTTGGTTAAGAAGTATACTGTCGTAAGCCTGATCACTAGTCAATCTGAAAAGTGGTATTAATCAATTTAATTTAATATTGGATACAGATAGCCATACTAATACTATAAATAACAAAATGAGCCCATCAATTTGTTTGTCGGTATGTCTTTTTAATGTCTTCACAACTAAATAAATAATTGGATATTCATTACATTTGACGTGAAGATTGATTATATTACGGGAATAGCAGTAGGCTGTTTTTTAAATAGCAGACGAAATTACGGGTAACAGCTAGTATACTGTTTAGTCTCTGTGATATAATTGAATAATGAGATTAAATAATAAACAATCCGAGTTCCTATATTAAATAAGTATTGAAAGTTTAAAATACAGTTGTTATAAAGTCTGCTTAGTTTGGAAAGTAAATGGATTGCCAGATCTATTTCAGGTTTGTTGTAAATACTTAATATAAAGTTTTCGGATACAATTCAGGACTTCAATATTTAATTCACTTGAATAATACTCTGTGAGAGTCCATTCAAATTATTTTTAACTCTCACTCAACTCCAAAAAGAAGTAGTATTTTTTTTTTCTTTACAGTTTCTTTTTACGTATAGGTAATACGAGATATTCTATTAATTGTGAACTAATTAACGAAAAATAGCTACGTGCTTAATTTTTATGCGGTTGAAGTGGGAATGATAGGCATACCAGCGAAATCTCTCATAAAATTCAAAATTCAAAAATCATTTATTCATGTAGGATATTTTAGCCGCTTATGAACGTCAAGTTTTTACATTATAATTTTTTTCCCTACCGTCCAGTTCAGATCCAATTGAGAAGAACAGGCAAGAATCTCAATTGAATTACTTTTTTTTTAAAAGCCAGTTTATTTACAATGCATAGGTATTTATATAGTTGTCTATCTCTAACATTAAATGAAAATCCCGAACATGAAAACTATTGCCATGCACGCTCGTCATTCACGTAATCGTTTAGTGAGTAATAGGCCTTGCTCAGTAAATATGATTTAACAGATGTCTTCAATTTATTTAAGGGTAATTCCAATATATCCTTTGGTATCTTATTATAAATTTTTATACCTATTCCCATAAAAGACCTATTGACTTTTTCTAAACGATACTTGGGGACAGCAAGTTTGTCTTTAAATCTAGTATTAATATTATGAAAATTGCTGTTTTTTGAAAATAAGTCAAGATTTTTATAAACATATAGGATATTTGAATATATAAATTGAGAAGCAACGGTGAGAATATTTGCCTCTTTGCCTCTCTACAATCTTTTAAAAGATCTTGGCCTAGATTTAGTATTTTAGGCCAGTAGATTCTATTAGTAATTAAACTGCACTGCACTATCAGGCTGCTACCTGGTATGGCTGGGCAGGGAGATAAACACGACTGATGAAGATGAATGTTGACGTACATCAGCAAAAGGAGACCCTTAAACCTATACCCGGGTATCAAGTCCCGGAAACTGCTCGAAGTTTCCCTCTCTGCCACATGATGGACCTGGCGAATCCATCTCTGACATGGTAATTCCATCGAATGCCAAGAAGTTTGTATCTAACTTTACATATTATTTTACTTGATCATTATCATATAGTATAAAACAAAGTCGCTGTCGCTATCTGTCCATCCCTATATATGCTTAATCTTTAAAACTACGCAACGGATTTTGAAGCTGTTGTTTTAATAAATAAAGTGATTCAAGAGGAATGTTTTATGTATAATACAAGGACACCCGGGCGAAATCGGGATGAGGAGCTATTTATATAATATTTTCCTTTTACAAAATAACTAGTGGAGTTTCGCCGTTGTGCTTGTGGCTTTGTGAGTTGTGTACAGGTACTTATATTAACATATTAATGGTAATTTCTTGTATCGGTGCTATGGTTCCCGAGATTATTTACCTTGTAAGATAACGTGTCTTTAAATAGTATAGACCAGACTAGATGGTTATTTAGTTGTGAAAACTTAATGGAAACTTATTTTTAAACACAATGCGTCTACCATAATAAAACAATCTACTGTGTATATTATCTATTATAACTTGATCCAGCCTGCCTTAATAATATATATATGTATACATACACGCCGCTTGTGAAGAATGACGGTATAGTTAATAGATTTCCAGAACAAAACAAATACATGTAATTTGCTGGATTTGCGTTAGATGGCAGTAGATTATTTTGGTTGTAGGTATATAAACTTAATATTGTTTTCCTTTCAATTATTGTGTATATATGCATAGGATTCTCACGTTGGAGGTGAAGGTGCTCACGTTTACAATTTTAATTTGGCAACCGATATGCCACGGAATATGTAAAACGAATAATTACCTGTCACTATCCAAATGACGATGGCGTTTCCACCAATAGCGACGGCCAGCATCGCTGCGAAGAGGAACACCCACGAGTTATGGGCCCAGAGCGGCATGGTGGTGGTGGACGGTGCTGCTGTTGGAGCCTTGGGTACGAGGACCGTAGCGGCCCCGAGAGTACTGTGGTTGAAATCCATCTTCCACGTGAATACCACCTAAGGGAATAACAATTGAAAATAAATTAATATATGTAACCTAATTACTGGTACATAGAAATAGATGGTTTTGTTTTTTTTATAATAAGGGTGTTAGTGGTTAAGAAACCTTTTGCCACGCACAACTACTTTGTAGAATCACCTTCCGGCAATGGTATTTCTTTTTGCCTTACGATATTGAAATCTTCAAGAAAGGAACTTATTCCTTCTTAAAAAACCGGCAATGCAATTCCACTAGTTTTGCAGATGCTCATGAGCAGCGTCAGTCTCTTACCATTAGGTAAGCTCGTTTGTTCCCTATTCCTAAAATTTTAGAGTTTCCACGAAATCAGATCATTTAGACTCATGAATAGAATCGTGTGATTTCCATTAAATCAAATAAATTAGACTATCGTGGAGCATTTACCAATAATCAACCACCGTTGTTGCCAGGGAGGACTGCGTGGAGGCCGACCAGATAATATATTGCTAGCTCTCACATCTAAATCTATTAGTTTATAATTTTGATAAAGGATTTTTATAGAAACCGATGATACTCAAATTGTGTACTAACATATATTCAATAATATCGATCTCGATATGCGATAAATACCTCTATAGCATCCATGAATTTGCAATGTTTCAATATTAACATAGAAAAAGAGACACATTTACCATGATATTTGTTACACATAGGGTTTGGCAAAACCGAAGTACACGGCAAGTGGTCGATGAGACAAAAAGATTTGGGGAGTGCTGGCCTAAACAAACAAAGTAGCTAGTCAGTAAATAGTAACGGTTACCCATCCAGTTTGTTTAGGTACAAAGTTCCCTTTGCAATATCTATACCATATCATCAAATCTATGTAAATACCTGTTCTACTTGGTATTTTAATGTTATTCGTATAAATTAGATTTTTATTAGATTATATTGAACATTAATAAGTTATTTGATACTTGATATTGAAATAATACAGATGAATATATTTTTATACATAAAAAACAGATTACCCACAATTCCAGGCAAAATATGTTTAATGTTGTATTATAATATGTATCATACCAGGAATCATAACCAGGAAAACCTAACGATTCAATTGAAGTTATAGCGTTATTGTTGTGTACCTAAATTGCTTAAAATTAATTTAAGCAATTTTATTATTTACTAGCTGTTATTCGCGGACTTTGTTTGCGTGGATATTATTTTTTTTATTAAAATAAATAAAATTTCAAAAATAAAAGTAGTCTATGTTACTTTTCGTATCATAACTATCTGCGTGTGGAAGTACCGTCAAAATCGTCCAGCTATTTCAGAGATTAACAAGAAAAAACAGACATAGAAACATACAAAAATGTTTAAGCTACTTTTTCTATGTAATTTTTGTATACATTCATACATACATTGTATTTTATGAAAAACTGTTAATTTGAAGTTACAAAAAGATTTTTATTTACTTATATATATATTACGTAACAAAAGTAATTCGTAAGATACTTAAAGCCCCGAATTTTGTTTGTGTACGTCGTCGAAATTGAAAACAAAAATCACACAAAATAAAATAAGCATCATGATGCATAATTGGTATAATGGAATCTCAGACATTGCCAGTTTGCCACCGTATTCGAAGAAACTCACAAATGAAAAAGTCTCGTTCGGTAAAATTCAATCAATGTATTGCTCCGTTATATCCTTAGAAAGATAACAAACAAAACGAAATATCTTTAAATAGATGTTTTTTTTTTCATAATTTAACAATGTTTGCATGTTGTTACTACTGTATGTGTATTTATAGAAATTTCATTCATCTGTGTAATAGATTTTTTTTATCTGTATAGTATATTGAAAAAGGCGCCATCAATCTTATCGCTTCACATGTTTCTTTAAAAGTATTCAACGATATAAAATATAATAATTGAACAAATATAAGACTTCTCTATACAAAATTTTAGTACATTTATTTGCTACCGAGTAGCCTCTTTTCAAATTTGTGTTCCAATTTAAAAGTTGAGATTTGGCTGTTTCCCCATGAATATAAAGAATGAATATATCATATTTATTCATAATTTTATTATGGAACCACTTTTGTAGTGCAAATAGATATCAGAGTAACATTACTGTCATATCTATAGCCTACTATTTACACTCTCCACTGACCTATACACTTAGATATACTTGTTTGTTTATTCTCTTTCATAAAAAAAAAAGAAAAGTAGGACAAGACCGTATCACACATGCAATAATACGATTCCATAGCTATATAAATCTACAATATTTTGTTTAACTGTTCCAAGTTTGTTTCATGAATAGAAATAAGAAATAGAAATAATCTTTATTCATATAAACTCAGTACAAGCACTTTTGAATAGTAATTTTTTTTATTCCACCACTCATTCAGAACGTAGTTTCTATTTTCTTATAAATATTATAAAATTATAAAAGCCCAAAACAATTTATAGTTGTAGTAATAAATTAATATTACAAACCATAATCCCACTTCAATTTAGATTGTCAATCCACTATCAACAGCAAAAAGATTTTTTATTAGGTACTTATTTTTGCTATATAATCTAGTTCACTACCATATAGATTTCTACTAGTCTAATTTTGTCTAGATTGAGTCCTTCTATCAAACTTTTCCACACGCGTCATCAAAAATACAAAGGGGAATAACTTTATTACACGGGAAGTCATTGTCTCGAGAGTTCGCGGAATTGGAAACATCAACCGTGGGAGATAAACTCGAAGTTAAACTCCCAAAGTTACGATGTCAAGACATAGTCATAAAGGCTGTCAGTTCAAACAGAAGTACACTAGGAAATACTTCGAGTATAGATTTGCTATATTAAATAACATAAGGAGAAGAACCTTAAGGAGAAGAGTAATTAGGCTTTTCCGTTGGTTTTTTATTCTATTTAATATCTGTGACCATCCTGTACGTTCTTTTGTATATCAGAATGGCGTGCAGATTGATGATTCTTCTTGCCTTGATTCTGCTGTCTTTTTTTTTCATAATAAGCTTCTTGTTTGTTTCAACATTGCTTGCATTATTATATAAGGGACGATTTCCAAGAAAACTAAAAACAGTCTCTGTAGATCTGATGGACGCTGTTATAATTTTTATGTGCAACACTAAATTAGGTATGACCTATCCTGGCGTAGGTTACGCCGCGCCGTCATTTATCATTTTCTATCAGGTTTCTATTTACTCAAAAACAATTAGAAAACACTTCGAAATTCTTTATATACTTATATTCGAAATACTTTATAACTTATTTACTACAAAGTGAATGTAATTTAGAAACATGAGGTTTATCGAAAAAGAGAAGATAGAGCCAAGTTAAAAGTACTCGTAACTGCTTCTGAATAGATTGATGAATGTAGACGTGTATAAGAAAAGAATTTCGTATTCGACCATCTGGCGTTCCATTGTTTCAATCTACCATAATGGAAGACTAGTATTTTGTATAGGTTTCTATGTATGTATGTAGAATGCACTTATATTACTTACATATAAATATAATGCGTAATATTAACATTTATGATAATAATAAAAAGTACCTACTTAGTTTTTATCAAGTTGTCGGAAGTAGAAATTTGTTGTATTTAGACTATATTGTGATAATATGTTTTGTGATGTCATTTTTTTTATACCACGTACGTGACAAACAAGCATACGGCCCATCTGATAGTAGCGCGGTGGTTATCCTCAGCACTGTAGCGTTATGTACTATATGATGTGATGAAGTGTCGCTACATGATATATTTGTTTATTGTAGTATATAGGTAGTGAGTATACCGGTGAAATAATTGTACTATTTATTATAAATTAGTAAGTTTATTTAGTGGTGTGCAACTTGGCTTATTAGTAAAGCGTTTATTCGACGCGAAGTCGAGACGTAGACTGATTTACACTGAACTTAAATCTATGTTAGTTAGTGTAGACGTAAACTAATGTAAGGGTCTCAAGTGTTGACAGAAATATTACAAGTGTAGAGACAACATGAACGTCGTTATACAACATTGTAGTCATTGTGAAGGGTAGGTAAAATTTGGCGACGCAAACTATATTTTATTACAAACTTATGTATTTTTTGTTACAAGGAATTATTTATTTATTCTTTTGCACACAAAAATGTATACTGATAGACTTAATGCCTGATGGCATTCTCTGCCAGTCAATTATCTGGTACAAGAGGAAAACATATATAACAAAACCAAAATTCATTTCAAATACATGTCAAAATATGAAAAAGTAAAGTTTTTTATAACTCTAAAGAGTTCCGTAATAATCACTGTACGACATTGTACCTCATTGTACGACTTTGTAGATTATTTAATAATGATATAGGCTATATATTATATTAACGTGGATATCACAAAGTTATGGCCTCTTGTCATGTAATGTAACTTTGTTTTGGCCCCTTCCCTTCCCCTAAAGGATGGCGTATTTTTAGGATGGCCTCTTGCTAGAAGTGGAATCTCTGAACCCCATTATTTAAAATCCCCGCCACTTAGAAACTAGAGATGTCAAAGAAAAATTGTTGGATAACAAGGAATGACCAGTGAAATGTTCCGAGGTCTAATTTCTCATGGGACAAAGAATCGTAGTACACCGCACTATCCATTCAATTTTATTTGCAGATTTCCATGGGGAATTGGACAATGTCCCTACAAGGAAATTATTGAATCTAATCTATACAAAGTTTGGTCAATTTTACGATTTTTTACTCTAGAATTCTTTATAATAACCTCACCGTGGTCCTGTAGTTTAGCACATCGTTATATATCTGATCGCCGTGGGTTCGATTTCTTCCAACTTAAAAATATTTGTATCCAGTACCCTGCTTTTAAATATACCCAGCGAAATATTACGTTCATCAGAACATTATGGTCTAGCGGTTTAGAACACCGCTTTACATATTTCGATAATCACGGGTTTGATTTCTCGCACGGTACACACTTTTGTATTCATGAGTATGATTGTTTATATCGTTCTGGGTGTTTTCTATGTATATGTACG